CTCAGATCATAATCAGAGCTAGAGCAAGACTGCTAACTATAGTAGTCTATACCTACAGGCCAAGAGTTTGCGGTGATTTATTTTCCCCTGAAAAAACAATATTTTGATTGGGCTTTACAAAATTCAGAAGACTTACAAATTGCATTGTTAGATCATTCAGGTGCTTGTTCTATCCACTTTCCAAGTAATTACAGATTCTGTTTATGTTGCTAATACTGTTAAAAGAATAATCAGTTTTAAAAGATGTTAGTAATGATAATCTAATATGATAATCTTACACATCTTTACAGAATTATACAACAGAGAACTAACAAGTATTTTGTTTCCCATATTAGGGCACATTCCTCACTTCCAGGATTCTTAGCAGAAGGAAATGCAAGAGCAGATAAATTGACAATGACTGTTGCAAGTACCTTGCCTAACATTTCTGACAAGCTAAATTAAGTCATGTCTTTTTTCATCAAAATACACAAGCACTTTTGTCAATGTTTCGCATCTCCAAGGATCAAGCAAAAGCAATTATAAATGCTTGTTCTGATTGTCAACTTGTGCAACCTCCTGTTTCTACAGGAGCTGTCAACCTAACAGGCTTGCAAAGCCTGCATCTATGGCAGACAGATATCACCAAACACCCATCTTTTGGGAAATTTAAAAATATCCATGTATGAATAGACACTTTTTCAGGTGCAGTTTTTGCCCCCTTACACACAGGAGAAACAGCTAATTGTGCTTGACAACATTTTTTTACAAGCATTTGCTTTGTTAAGAGTACTTTAGGAAATCAAAACAGACAATGGTCCTGCATATACAGCTCAAAAATTAGCCACTTTTTTAACGGATTGAGGCGGTTGTCATACTTTTGGTACTCCCTACTCTCCCATGAGTCAAGCTACTATTGAAAGAACACATCATACTTTGAAATTTCTACTAGATAAACAGAGAGGGGGAATAACCCTGGCAAATCCCCACATGTGATTAAATAAAGCTTTGGATGTTTTTAATTTTTTTAACAGTTCCTTTGCAGAGCCAAATCCACCAGTTTTTAGGCATTTTTCTAATAGCACAAAGGTAAAGTTGAAAGAAAATCCTTTAGTTTTGATTAGAAACCCAGAAACAGGACAAACATTATTATTCTCTAATAACCTGAGTAAAAGGTATGCTTGTGCTTCCACAGGAATAGGATCTAAGTAGATTCTAGCAAATAATGTGAAGCTGTATCACATGCAGAAACATGCTGACAATTCCACGAGCAGAGAAATAAGCACGCAGACCTGAGAATTTACCCCCATCTGAAAAAACTGTGAACCTTGAGGTTTATATCAATGTAAAAAGTGTGAGAATCACTGTTATCATGGAGCTTCTTTAGCAAAAGCCTGGTGTATATCGTGTTATATTTTAGTCACAATTAAGGTAGAGTCATTGAATTTTTGGTTATAGTGGGTCACGAAGAAAGAAATAGCCCCTGTATCTCCACTTTTAGAGAGGAATGCAGAAAAGAATTTTTGAAAGAATCAGGAAATATTCAAATTTGTAAAGTTGAATGCAAATGAAATAATTTAGTGCCTTATCTTTGCCTGTCCCAGAGCAAGTTTGGGAAAAAATAAAAAAGGAATGTGCTAAAAGATTTGCTAGAGATAGGAAAGAAGCATGGAATTAAATCAAATACTAGGCTTACACTTTTTTATTGTTGTGCTTGCTTTTAGTAGTGCGACCTTGCACACTAATCAGCCGCAAACAAATATTTGGGTGACTTTAGCAAATGCATCAGGCTTGGACACTGTGTTTAGCCACCACAAATCCAGAAAATCCCTTTTCCACTTGTTTAGTGGGGCTGCCTGCAGATGCATGGCCAATAAAAGAGAAGATAATTCATGTTTTAGGAAGTCAAAGTGCTAGCCACATGGGATTGGAATCACACCCCTGGAGATGCCTGGAATTATTGGGCAGGAGACCTTCCCCAGGCATCCTTAGAGCCTCAGGAGATAGATCTCTTTGGCTCAGTAAAATTGGTTTTTCGTGTTAAATTCAGCTGTACAAGGAAGGACTCATTGCTGATCAAAGATGTTTCCTCCCATCACCATGTGTATGGAAACAAGACTTCTTGGTGTAACTACACTTCTCCAATTCTTGCATGGTCTGTTGACACACCTTTACAGTTACCACAAGGGATGTTTTTGTATTTGTGGAGATAGAGCTTGGCCTGCCATTTCATCACATATCATAGGTGGTCCATGTATCTTGGGGAGGCTTACTTTGCTAACAGAGTATAAAAATGATCACTGAAAATAGATGCACAGGAAAAAAGTTTGTTCATCACTAATGAATCAGAACATCAAGAGAACTCTGAACCTTGGGGTTTTGGAAAAAGACTTTCAGTATCTGTACTTTTACCTCAACTTACCTCTGCAGTAGCCTTGAAGCAATCAGATAGATTGGGTAGTTGGCTAAATAAGCAAACCAGTGCTACTTCTTTTGCATTGAGTGGTCTGTTAGCTGATGTCAAAGATGTGAGACATGAAACTTGGTGAAACAGAGCTGCAATTGATTTTCTCTTATTAGCACATGGACACAGGTGGGAAGACTTTAATGGAATGTGTTGTATGACCCTATCTGATAATTTGGAATCTATCCATAAAAGCATACATCAATTAAAAGGAGTGTCCAAAATTAAGGTTAAACGATGGATCTTGGTTAGATTACTTGTTTAATGGATGGAATTTCGCACCTTGGTTTAAAGAACTTCTAAAATTTGATCTAAATGTATTGCTTGTCATAGTAGTTCTACTGATAATGGTGCCTTGTCTGCTTCAGTGTATACAGCAAATGATTGACAAAGCTATCAAAGGAGTATTCCTGGTTCACCAAGAGGGGCAGATGTGGGAATTGCAAGTACAGAGAGCTCTCAGGGCCTTGTGCATACAGGCTCAGGGACAGAGACGGACAGAGATGGCTTCTGATATTATGGCATTAAATGTAACACCTTTAATGTCTCACCCTTCTATGACACTGACACCATGAGGCAATAAATCATCCTTTAAAAAGTCTCTCAGTTGCCCGTCTCTCGTGATTTTGATCTCCCAGTAGGAACCCATCCCTGTCTTTCCTGCTTTATTTCTTAAAAAGCCCTTAGGTATCTAATGCAGCACTCCAGTTGCCCAAGTGAACCTCCTGTATCCATGATCCCAATGAGGTTACAGAACCATCACTGAACGCAGATTTACAATCCCTTCTGTTAGTGTCTCGTGCAGGGTGTTGTTGCCTCCATGGGCCAGCTATGGCACTTCCTACACATTATCACATAGGTCAAAAAACCAGTAGGAAAACAACACTAGATTAGGTCCAAAGTTCATGAATCCCATTTTATGTTTAAAAGGACAATGTAGCTGTAACCTATCTCTATCATTTGCCTTCAGATTCTAATTCTGGCATTTCAAAGACTTTTTTTTTTCTGCTTGCAATTAGAAGTGGGCCAGTATTGATCACTGGGAGCAATTGCTCACCACTGAATGATACATAGGGTTAAGGAACATTCTGCTGGACACAAGGAAAAATCATTAGCCTATGATTTCCGTAACATGTCCTCTTCTTTCTGGATAAGGATCAGCATCTCCTCGCTACTAGAAAGGCTGAGGGTTGTCAAGTTTCCTTGCACACCTGATGACTTTCAGCCACCAGACTTTCCTACCAGTTGAGGAAGGTTGGATCAAAGGCTGCAGCAGCTTGTACCCATCTGAGAACAATGGTGCTTAGGGCTCCTATAGTTTCCTAGGGATTTTCAAGACAGAGACCAGACAGGTAGAAATTGCCACAGAGCTGCTCAGGGTATGACAACCACCTGAGAACATTCCCACTCTGCTACCTTGTATAAGCATAAGACAAACATATCAAAGAAAAATCTTTTCTGACAGTAAAATGAGACCATGACTTGCATCTGCTATAACAAAGGCAAACCATGCTCATGTAATACTGAAAAAAACATACACTTGCTCTCACAAGGAAGCTCTTTCTCTGTGGTGCATCAAATCTATGCCACACATCTGCACATACAATTACCCATTGAAACAATTCCAGAAGACATCTTTCACCAAGCTATCTAATATTCTGAAGAGACTCCAGCATTTCATACAACTACTGCATCAACTCAAATGACTTCTAGCTGTGCTAGAAAACTTCAGGGAGACAAAACTGACTACAAATGCCAAGACAATAGAATATCTCACCACAACCCTTGGTAAAATTGCATATGCTCAGTTATGAAGCTTTATATCATTTATACTGAGCTTCCAGAAATTCTTAGCAACCAGATTTAAGAGATTTCCTCCACCAGAAAACTTTTTCCAAGGTCAGTCAGTTGATTATAAAAAACTTAAGACGACATTTGGATGTTAAAAGCAGATAAAGGGTACCCCTAATGACAGACACAGCTGGGTTACAAGCATGTCCCACAGTTTTCATAGGAGTACACGCATTCAATTTATTTCTCAATACTTAGTTGTGGCAGTAGCTTTTCACTAAACCTTAAAAAGCCATTCACACGGCAAGTGTTTCTGCTTGCCTCTTCAGGATTAAGACTTGCATTTCAAGTGAACTGTTCCATACTCTTGTCTTATCAACACTATTTCTAGGCTCAATATGGCAACAAAAAGCAAACAACTGCCTAATGAAGCTACAAAAACCCAACCACACTCAAAATCCCCAAACACCTTTCTCATACTATCAGTCAAGACCTTCAGATGCAAATGGTTTAGCTCAGAACCTGCAGGGAAGGGAAGGGAAGGACTGGACACACTACTAAGAACTGGAAGTGAATCTTCATTACTTTTCTTTCATGACAGCCAATATGTAACTTCTGATGCACTTAGTCCTTTGCTCTAGGTGAAGCTTTTCAGCCCCTCATTACCTACACTGTCCACTTCCTGTAGGGAAGTCTTACGCTGCTACTAGCTTTTTACTCTGTTCAGAGTATTTACATCTGTCACCTTGAGTCTCCTCCAGCTCACCTTGTCTTGACAGTCTGAACTTTTCAGCGTTGCATCACTTGGTGATTCTGATGGGGCTGCAGAATCTGGAGGGATATTTATACCATTGGTGCCACTGCTGAGAACTGCAACAGAGAAATAAAAAGATACATGAACTCTCTAGATATTTAGACTGTCATAAATTTTTCTTATGCAAATTGCATGCTGTTTTCTTGTTTAAGTCCATGAAATATTGCAATGTAAACTAAAAAGTTCCCACAGTATTCTTCAAGAGATGTCAGAACCACAATTAGCAATTCTTAGCAGAATGAAAATTCCAAATGCAGAAAACCAAGTCAGCAAATTAATCTATAAAAAGATTGTAAGGACTTCAATATGTACAACTTCAAGCAACCATCCTGCTCCAATCTAATGTTGTTCACAGCCAGCAGGGCTTGTCTTCAGACTGATCTACCAGCTCACACACTGAACTCCCACTAAAATTTTTACCCCAATACTAAGTCCTCTGCAGAGTTCAAGCTGTGTCAGGAGGCACATCAAGAAATCAAGCTAGAAATGTTTGGTTCTTTACCAGATTCTGCATTAAATTAAGTTATTCCTGTTTCTGTTCAACTACACTTCCACATAACAAATGGCATCAGGCTGGGGAAACATGGGGTTTAGGAGACAGGGACACTTTAAACAGCTTTTTGCATTAACTTCCACACTTTAGTCATGTCCACTTCCATCAGCTATATCAAATTCCTTAATTCCGTAATACAATAAACATTATATGAATGACCAAACTTAAGAATTAAATTTCCATGTTCAGAATTAAAACTGAACATCAAATCACAACTTCAAAATGGTCCCCAAGCCCAGAGGTACCTCTCACTGATTTAGGTACTTTACTGTTGATCAGTTACCAGTGATAGCTTATTTATACCATGGTCTATGCTGTCATTTGAGATTGATTGCTATACCACACTCTTAAAAGTCTTTTATTCCAAAACTCAAGCATGGACTACAACAAAGTTAGGCCTGGTAACATCAGACAGTCATCCTACACAAGACCTGAAGGTTCCACTACTTTATCCTACATGTAATACAGATACACTTACCATTTGTTTTTTTTCTGAGAGAAAACTAGAAAAACTCAGGTGGGTGTTCAGTAAAACCAAACCATCACACTAAACAAATTCATTTTTTTGGTTCCCTTTCCACTGTCTTTAGAATGCAAAAGCATTATTTACCCATCTGTGAGAAAGCTTTTGGCTGTGGGGCCTGTAATACTGCTGGACGGAGCACACTTCGCTGCTGTTCCTTCGGTTTCTGGCTAGGGAGACCTGCAAGTACAAAGTTTTTTCAAGAAATATAAAGCTTTAGAGTTGGAAAAATCAGCTTCATCTAATCTTCTCTAACTGCTTCCAACAGAACACACAATGAAAAAAACAGACACTAGGAAAGCTTCTATTCCCTTTTTTTCCATCCCTCCTTATTCAGCCTCAAAAGAGAGTTAGTCCCAAATAGAAATACTATTTCCTAGCCAAAAAAGACACTTCAAAATATATTGTCCATCCTACCCAGGAAAGCACAGAACAGAAGTTTACTACTGACCCAGAAATAAAAGCACCAATATGTAAGAGAAATGAACAGTACACCAGTAATCTTATTTATACACTGATATTTTATTCAACTACACATTCCAAGTCTTCTTTTCTCCTTCCAATATAGTAATTTCCAGGTATTAATAAAATATTTTTTCATCCATACAATCAAACATATGGGTACTGTAATAGTTGTGTTGTGCCATTTAACAACCTTTTTCGGCTTTCTGAATTAACCTGGCCTCTTTGGTTGTTAAAGTAAGATGCACAGCACTACAACTCTAATTCTGCCATGATTCAAAAAGCTAACTGACCTTAAACTAATAAAAAACCAAACATTGCAACATCAACTCTAGAAGGTTATGGCAAGCCCAGAAGGTTCCATTTTCTTGACTGAAGAAAGTAAAGATGAACTCTTGATCCAATAAAATACTGCAACAGAACTCACTCATAGCAATTAGCTCCATTTCAGGTCACCCATATTCAAAGGACATGACATCAGATTACAAAGCTGTCCTATGTTGAAAGTTCCTAAGTTCAAAACAGCTTGCTCCTTTCTTAAATTTACTACTCTTCCTGCAAGTGAAATGAAGTTTCCACATAGTTATGCAGTAACAGCTTTTATTACCTAAATACTTTTGAGTTTGTTTTTTTTCCCCCCTCAAATTCCTAAGAAGCTGTAATACTAATATCTTTCTGATAGTGGCTGGGTCTACATCAGCAAACAGGAGACACAGTCATAGCCAATCTGTAGTGCGGAACAGGCATGATCAAGGACCTGCCACCCACATTGCCACCAAAAGCCAGGGAGAGCAGAAGTGGGCACTGTCTGACACTTCCAACTGCCCTGCCTGGTCACAGACTAAACACAGTAATGGCTGGAACTTGCTCAAGGCACTCCTGGGAACACCCTTTTTCTTACAGTTTGATACCAAAGGAATCAAATTCACTGTCTGTAGGATTACTCCAAGCACAAACAGAAGCTTGCTAAGTAGTGACAGCTGGGAGATGCACTTCAGACATGCACAGCAGAGCCAATGCCAAACACAGGCACGGCCCCAAGTGTTACACAGTGGATATGGGCACAACAACCCTACAGAAAACAGGATTTTTTTTCTGCTGACACATAGGTATTGCCACCTTCTATTTACAATAGCCAATTGATGAAAATACTAACTAAATAAAAAGCTTGAGCTGGTTCCTTTGTACTGTTGCAGTAACCAGTGAACTCACCTGCACTAGGTGCCTGACCATGGATAAGTATTGGTGGCTTCAGCCGGAAACCACTGCTCTTTTCCTCTGGAAGTGAAATACAAAATTACAAGGACAAAGCTGTAACATACAAGAAATATCCATTCAGTCAAAAAATTCTCGTGTTTTCCCCATTGTAATGACCCACAAGTTCTATAAATATACAAAGTTATTAGATTTCCAAAGAACAGACTCTTCTTCTGAAAGAAATCTGAATTTCCAGTGATCATCACAGCAAATATACATCACAGATAAACACATGGTATCACAAGGAAAAGGTTCAAATTTTTCTTAAGAAAGAGGAAAAAGATTGAACCCCATTTCTCTGTGAAAACATTCTGTGAAGGACTTAATATAGATAAAGGTTTTAAGTGAGATTATTCTTTAAAGAAAGAACAATCAAAATTATGACTGAACATGACAGCTGCTAACAAGTACCTAACTACTAACTATCATAAATTAAGTTTAATTGCTTCATGTTAGTTTCTTGTAATAAAAAGTTTTTACTCATGCTTTTGTAGTATGAAGATAAAAGAAATTCCTTTGCTCACACTCACTACAGTTATGGTTTTTTTAATTAAGTACCAAAATCTCAAAAAAATACTATAAATCTACAGCTATTAAAAAAATCAAGTTCCTAAGAACTTACAATGAATAATTATTCTTTTTTCCTTTTAGGGACTTAATATCTGTACTCAGAATAAGACAACTCAGCATCTTACAGCCTCACTGTACTTGGTTATATACTGATGTGCACTACAGCAATACCAACACAACCAAACCAGAACTAACAAAATCATCAGTTCTGCCACATGGGGCTCACAGGTCATAGCTGAACACAATCATGACCATACCTTATGGTTGTTTTGCTTTCCAATATAAAAGAACAGTTTTCCAAAGTAGATAAATGAGAGTTGCCCATAGGTTTTATTGTGAGGCTAGCAAGAAAAGGCCAGACTGCAGTATTCTACCATCACTCCCAACACATTTAACAATTTTGATATTATTTTAATTACCTCCAGCAAGGGTGAAGTCAAATAATGAAGTAAGCAAGAGAACAGCTCTAAGATCAGAACCATCATCACTTCCATTCTCACAGGTAGTGTCTTACTTCTGAAGTATCAGAGTACTTTGGATCACAACAAATTAACAACAGTTCAAGAAAAAAGGAGAAAAAGCTCACCTGGTTCTGAATCAGAATTGCCTGCAGAAGGTTCACAGAAGCTTGAGGGCATAAAGACATTGTTCTTTGTTACTGCAGTCATGGAAAAAGAAAAAAAAAAAAAAGGGAAGTTGTGTATGTTGTTCTTTATAATAAACCTGTTCCCATACTTCAAACTGAAAGTAACTTTTCTAGTAATTTGCTTTATTTCGGTTTTATTTTTTTCTAAACTAAAACAGTATTACAGCCGAAGTAATAAACAAACCATTGTCCATAAAATCCCCTCAGTGTCTCCTGAAACAGAGAAAAAACAGATTTCATTTCTTCTGAATCCTGTACAAATTCAGGATTCCTAATCGGAATTGTATCTGAATTAGGAATTAGAAATAGTGTTAGAATATGTAATAGCATTGCAAAATGTATAACACCATTTCAAAAGGCCCCTGCAGAGAGAGCGGAAGGGTGTGTAATGCCTGCTAGAGAGTACAAGTGAACATCTGGGCTCTGATGGACCAAACTGTCTGCACCAAGAGGCAACTTAGGTGTGAACTACCCTGCAAAGACAAAACTCCTAGAGAAACAGAGGACAGCACATCAGAGTACTGTCAGATGTCACCTCAGCAGCATAATAGTCAACAAAATGGAAAAAATGTTTGAAAAAACAGGCAAAGGACAGAGTTTCTTTTCCACCCTTTGCTGGGATCTAAAGAAGCAAGCAATAAGGAGTTTGGTTGATACCCTCTCTGGCAGTTCTGGTATTTTTGTTGTTATACAAAAATCACAATTCACTTTATGAAACAGGACAATCAGAGAAAGAGACCGATTTCTCTAACAGATCATTTTGCATAAAGAAGCATAATAGCATTTATTGGCTCTTTTACCTTTTATAAGTCTATAGAAAAAGCCTAAGTATACTGAAAAGAGAAATGATGTTCATCACTGAACAGGACTGTACTAAGATGTGGCATTTGTCTTTTAGAATTAACTCTTAAATATTTTTTCATATTTCCTTTAATTTCACCTTCTCTCATTTTATTATTGTCTGCCTTAAGCTTAAACATGACATAGTTTTAATGTAAGTTAAATGTCCCTATTCGTGAGAGAAACATAACCCTACAAGAAAAAAAAGAAGGTGGGAAAGGAAAAGATGTTATGGAAACCAAAGCCATTGAATAATGTCAACAATATTCAAAGAGGTCTTTATGGAAGTTGCACTTCAAATCAAATTTGTCACTGACAACAACACACATAGGAAGAGAACAAAGGCGTCAGGGAATAAATTACCATATCCTCTCAAAATACATTAGCTAAGCAGAGGCTTGAGAAAGGATACTGGACTTCTGCAGCATCCAATATTTAACCATGAAGAGCTGAGTAAATTGTTTTCCTCCACTTCTTAACAGATGTTAGCAGAGAGATTCTAATCTTATAAGACAAAGACATTGTGGAATGGAAGTGTTCGAGATTATGGGGAACCTGGGTATACACATACTGTTATTCTAACAGAAGATCTACAAAACCCTGTATTCATTATTTTTGTGCATTCCTTTACTAAAAGTGGTTGGTAAGCAGACAGCAGCAATGCTGGTCACTCAATTCACAGCATGGTATCTGGAGACCCACTGAGACCACCAGAGAACTGGGATCTGAAAGAGAAGGGCTTCTTCCCCTGACTACCACGAATTTAGAATGCTGTGCCCAAGAAGTATCAGCAACTACATTTTGAATTTCATAGTAATTTATTTCTTTAAAATTAAAATCAAAATAACTAGGCTTTTCACCTTTTAGTCACATCTCCAGAATGTGCTGCATATGAGAGGAATTTCTTTTTACTGTTCTCTCCTTCAAGGTTTTTCATCTCCTTCATTTCAACTTACGATGGTAGAAATAAAGTAGCAGTCTCAAAATCTGACCCAGGCACTGACATATCTCAACTACAATGACCACTGACCAAAGCTAAAACCTTCATATGATCTGTGAGGAGAGACAGCGCAAACAAATGTGAACAAATACCAAACATGACCATTCCCGTGCAAGCAAACTGTATGAATTTACCCCAGTGATTTCACTGCCCCTGACTGTGCACACACACAGGCTGTGGTCATTCTCTCATGTATGTCAGGCGTTTAAGAAATGCACTGAATCATCGCCATTTTGAAAGAAATGGGAGAAGAGAAAAGGACTAAAACGTGAGCTGAGACTTGAAAAATTTCCCTGGCAGCAGAGTAAATAAGAAAAAGGTAGCACTTATAAAAATCTGGAAAGAAGCAACCTGATCACAACAAATCAGAAAGGTTTCTGGTTAATTCTGCATTTTAACAGCACAAGAGTAAAGCTAAAACCACAAATACACATAAACTTACAGATAGAAAACATTTTTAAAAACTATCAAGTCCCTTGGGCTTTACCAAATTTGCTAACATGAGTGCATGCTTGCTGTGGTCTTAATTCAAGCACAGCAGACAGTATAAGACTGTGTACATGACTGGAAAAAGAATGTCTGCAAAGGAAAATCATCCCTCATATATAATATTGTAGCAACATTTACCTGACTGAGAAGGAGGGAACTGAGTCAAAGATGAAGTTCTCTCACGTTTTACAGGTGGACAGTAGCTTCCATCCTCACGATCAGATTCTATATTTTAAAAAAATTATTAGAGAAAATGCAAAACATCCCAACAAGAGAGACACTCATGGCTTTTGATTTTACAATAAAATCTCTTACCATCTCCATCGTCCGGACTTGTTCCATCTGCAGATCTCTGAAATCAGATTACACTGATCAAACAAAGATCACATACTGAACATTTCAGTCTCTTAAGTTTGATCCAAATGTTTTAAGCATCAGCTAGGAGATTTTTTTCTTTACTGTCAATGACACACACTCAATGCAATAATCTTCTGTTACTTACATGTGGGCATAGTTTCACTCAGATACTATCAAATACAATTAATTCAAAATAGTTCATCTACAAGTAAGATTCCTGAAAGTTCATATTCCAAGCACTAATATCTTTAGGGATGGTGTAACAATTACTACAGTTATATTTTCTATATACTGAAAATTTGAAACAGACAGTTTTCAATATTGGTTTCATTTTTAAAACAAAGTTTCATGCTCAACATAAAACCCATTATTTGGGAGTTCATTCCAAAGCACTTTACCTAGTTACTCTAAGTGACATTAGCTCCTTCAACAAAATTATAGCATTGAAGGAATGGCTTTCAAAGCATGCTCTAGAAACCAGTACAACAGCACTTTTACTGGAATTAACAACAGATAGTCTCCTAACATCTTCCACAGTACCAGGAACAAAACGGGAAGCATCAAATATTACAGATATCCAAAAAGTTTTTGAACAAAGGTTTTACATAATTTCTGAGGATTTCTATGGCTCTTTCCTCCTATTTCTCCGCCAGTTCTTCAACTTCCCTTGCTCCTTTAAAAAATAACCCCATGATAGACTCCTTTCACTATGGAAGGTGATAAGGGCTGCATCAGCATCTTCATCTCATTACAAAACACCTTAGAATCAAATTGCTTAGGTTAGCAAGAACCTTTAAGATCACCAAGTCTAAGAGTTCCCTCAGAACTGCCACGCCCAATGGTAAAACATGTCTACAAGTGTCACATCCACACATCTTACAAATCTCTGCAGGGATGATGGCTGCACCACTGCCATGGGCAGCCTGTTCCAGGGCTGCACAAACCTTTTGTGGAACATGCTTCTTATAATATCCAATCTAAATGTTCAACTTGAGGCACAGCTTGAGGCCATTTCCTCTTGTCCTGTACCTTGTTATCTGGAAGAATAGACCAACCCCCACCTAGGCTACACCATCCTTTCAGACAGCTCTGACGTACTGGACCATCTACCTAGTCCAACACTGTCCTTGCATCCCACTCCTGCCTCAGGACATGCAGACAGACACCTTCCCTTCACTCAGTCTCTCTTCAGAGACTGGCTGATAAATAGAGGAATGGCAGCTCATACCCAGAGCCCACTGACACCCCAAAACTCCTTCCCTACCATGATTCAGCCCACTTGGGCACTGTGAGCAGGCAGACACACAGAAGGACTGCACAGGACTGACATCTGAAGCAGACCATGGGTGTAAGGATGCCAGAGAGTACAAAAGTTTCTATTTAGACCCACGTACATTTAGAATCCAGATAATACTGTACTATCAGCACTCCACTAAATGCTAATAAAACCCCACTTACACTGCACTTTGCCTATTAAACTACCTTTAAGGGCTTTTCTGTTTTGTTTTATGTTCACAGAAAAGTATAGCTACTTCACTAGCACCCCAGTTGAGTACTTTTGAAACCTTTAGCATTGGGAATAAGAAGCTACTGACAGTTCTGGAACACAACTTCCTGCATTCACACACATCTATTAGCCCAGCCATGTTAATTCTGCATTTGATGATCCATCACTCTTCCCACATAATTAGTCAAACAGTCCATGGTACTACCAGAAGGTGGTCTTATTACCCACTGCCCTTGCCAATACACAATACTTTCCTGAAAGATGAGGCTAAAATGGAAAACCATGATATCATGTATTTCAGTAACCAGCACCTGAACTCAGAAAATATTCCATTTTGCACATCAAGTGTTGTCACATACATAAGCAATTTGTTTCCACTTTCACCAAAAACCCTAAAACCAAAAAGAAAATACTTGGTAAAAAATTTGCCTGAGTGGAACTGCAGATCTCTATATGCAAAAATCCTTAAAAATAAACAAGTGATTTCCACCTGAATGTCAAAAACTTAAGATGTTACTAACACATGCTTCATTCTCAATGCTCAAGTAACACATATAAAGAAGTCAAACCTATATAGCACAAGCTTCAAATCACCTTATCATTGTAATTTCGTAACAGACAAGCACAACTAATGTACCATCTTAATGTTTAGTGGGCAACAGGCATCCATATCCAAAACCAACTCTGTACCCTACTGAAGACAAAGCAGAACAGAGAATCTGCACCATGTTATCTCCATGCTTCCTAGCCCAAGAGTTTTGGGAGATTTAAGCTATGTACCTTTGTATAAATAGATGCCAAGTAGATTCCATGGGGGTGAGAGGTACACAAATCTACTGTATTAGCATAAACTTCACTTTTCTATGAAGCCGCAGATAAAGTAAGTCACTGCTGCAGCCAGAATTGCAGACCAGTGCTGCTTCTACCCAGAGGAAGCTAGGTAGTCTAGACAAAAAACAGAGGTCTATATGCACGACAAGCCTGACAGACTGGAAAAACAGCAAATTACATTTAGTGACAATGAACTGCAGTCCAGCTGCTCCATTTTAGGCTTCTCTTCTCAACCTACTCAGTCTGTACTTTACAGCAACACCTGCTCTACACAAGTACCCCACACAATGGAAACAAAAGTCAGGACCCATCTCATCCTGAAGAAACCACCAAGCTGATTAAATTTACCTCCATTCAGTTGTTTGGACTTAGATGCTGATGAGACACAAACTGGTAACAGCAAAATCCAAGCTAGAATTCCCTCATTTAAGAGCAGAAGGCACTTTTCACAATATTCCCTCTGCCCCCCCGCGCTTCCAGAAATCCAGCTAGACAGTACTTACATTCATGCATAAATAGAGGCTCCTACCATTATGACACATTTCTAGATAAGGAAATTAGCTTCATAAAGGCTACCAATTGCCTCTTAAAAGTCTAAGTCATAGTAATTAAATACAAACATTAATTCCTCACACAATTTTTACATCAAACTAAGAGAAGAACTTCCAAACTTCAACAAATTTGTCAGTTTTTGCTTATTCACACTAGTTAGCAGAAACAGGGACAGGAAGGGACAATTTGGGCAGAAAAGGTCAGTGGAATTCAGGGAAAGCTCTAGGAGTATACTTCTAGTGTTCATCTTTGAAAATGCATTTTATGATGCAAAACATAACATATAAAGGACTTCAGAGCACAGTAATGGAAGTTTGCAGTCCAGACACTCTGCACATACACAGGCATTATAAAAGCTGTTCCAGAACCTCTTGATCAGCAGTCTTGCTGGGATAGCCACATGCTGTGGGAGGCTGGGGTGGGCCAGCAAAAAGTTAGGACATAATCATCAGCTCTGCAAGGAGCTGTACTATGGCCACATAAATTCATGTCGTATCAAAAATATCTGCCAGTGTGTGTACAAACAAGTAAACAAGAAATATGTAGTGTCTCTTCTGTCTTAACTCATCCATTTTCCCAGGCCCTAGGAAAACAGCATGAAAACTGCCACTCCAACAAACCAGTACAAGTACTCTTAAAATGCATGAACATTGTCTAGATTTCAAGGTAATGGATGGTTTTATCCTTAAGACACTAGGATAATTTGAACAGTACTTGCCAGTGCATGCCAGTTACATGCCCATACTAGCACCACACAATTTGGTACATTTAATTGAATGGACTCAAGAAGAATGCTGAAACAGCTGTCCTGTACAGCCACTACTTTCTGCATATGATCCCCAACAGCATTTGTGGATTTTAAATTTCTTTCAGAACTGGGTTAACTGGGGTAAGATTTTCTGCTCTCTAAGAACAAAACTAAGATAACCACTTGCTGCTGTGTTCCTGAAAATCTGGTTCATACCAATCTCTTAGACAATTGTAGTATCACTGCAATTTCAAATGACAGAAAACTGAGATAAAAATCTCTGATGTTTGATAAGAAAGATGTGTGATAACAACCAATTAGATGGGTGAGTGAATGGGTGTTAACATCTTTGAAATGGGTCTTAATGTCTCTGCTGACTTGAAGCAGCAGCTTTGTTACTGAGCCCAAACAGCCTCACTCCTGAAACGAGCAAGTGGGGGACTCTGCACAAGCCTGAACTTCTGCACTTTGGGGTAAAATTCCCAAGGGGGAATAGATGGTAGGTGTTTTGGGGAGGCTGTGCCTTCCTACATCCTCAGCCAGTGGGGAAGGGAAGAGGGCAACGTGTGGCCGGGAGTTTAGGATAAAAGGAGCTGAGCCATCCAAAACCGAGAGAGAGAAAACCCGGTGGGGACACGTGGCCTAGTGGACTCTTTTTCTATTTGAATAAAGTTGCAGAACTCCTCTGTCTCCTTTATGAACACTGGCTTTTCACAGCACGATTTTCCACACATGTTTACCAGCTATATTTTAAAATACTAACTCTTGAAAACAGTAACTTTCAGAAAAAGTCCTGAAAGATATCTGCAGGTCATCAAGCAATAGTCTGAACATTGAGAAGTGCTTAACCTACAGCTATTAGGACCTCGCCATGACAAGCCATTCAATACTAGGTTTACTTGAAATGGCCAATTCTTGGACAAAAAAAACCGCAAACCAATCACTGCAAGAAAAGGTTGCAGGTATTAGGTGAAGCAGCCCTAACAAAGATCTAGCAAAGAGCACATGCCTAGGGTGCAATGCCAGAATGAACAGTGACACTCACCTGCACCAAGAAAACATGTTCCACCAACCAGAAAGATTAGGAACACTTAAGAATTGCTCTGAAAGACTGTATGGTAGCAGTCCTTTAGTCATCCAATCTTTCAGAAAAGATTTTGCTACATCACCAGTAGAAAAATCAAATTATGAGCACTGACAGCTTTTCCACAAGATACTGATTTCCTCCCGACTCCAAACACCCAAATTCAAAACTCTATGATGCTCCGTGCCTTTAATCTGTTAAATGCCTTACGGGTTGACATGACATATCCAGTGGAAGCAGTATTAGCAGCTCACTTTGTCAAGCTGCAGCATTACAGCCCATAGAGGGAACAAAGAGTTCTCTAACTGCTTGAAGCAAATCCCTCCAATATAGACCTGCCTTCTCACTTATTTAGAAGGGCTCTTACCCTTAGCAAACACACAGCTTACACCTCAAATTTTAAAATACTTGAGGTGTCTTCTACAGTTATGCTACTAAAGAGACTCACAAATTTAATTTCTTCTAATTGGAACGAGGGTTTAGAGAGGACTAACTCTTGAGATCAAAGAACCAGACACACACTGTAATTTGCACTACCTACAGTTAACAATACCACCTAGTGGAAGGGACTTTTTCCTCTAATGCCCTCAGCAGCAGAAGTACTCGGTAGGTTGACACTTACCCCTGCCAGTTCTTGTTGAATAGGAGCAAGCTGGGTTTCAGAAGCAGGACTCAGGGTAGCACTGACTGAGGCCACAGCAGGAACAGGGTGCTCAGAGTCGCACTCACCAGCTGGTTCTGTGTGACCCAGACCATGGCAGGGGGGCTCAACCTCTCCCTGGGGGTCCTCGCCTGAATCCGACAAAGCTTTTTGCTCTGCAGGGGACTGTGAGCAGAAAAGACAACGTCCCTTCAATGCAAGGCTGCAACATGAGAGATCGGTGGTCCTAGTGAGAGGATCCATTTTTAAATTTCACTGTTTTCACAGTATGGCAGAAGGAGATGCTTGTTGCTGAGACACCAATTAAAAGATATAAACTCTGTAACAGAACCTGCTGACAGAATTAGCTCCCCTCCCTGCAAAAAAACCTCAGCTGGAGCAAACGAACTCTTTTGAGAGTTACCAAAATCATCTGTGTCCCCAGCAAAGAGGATTTTGGCAGCTACAGACTTTAGGGCTTAACCCCTCCCTCTCTCAAGTACTAAAGGACAGCTGATAGCTTTTACCTACAGATTCAGATATACAAATTAGACAATTACTCTAAAGTGTCCTTCACTGCCTCTTCAGCCCACTTTTGAGGGAGGTGAGGTTGGTTATAAAATTCTCACAGAAATTAATTAACATTCACACAAGACACAGGATCCTTTCATATTCACATGACATTGAATTATCTGAAAAGCAACACCAATGCTTTTTTTCTTAAATTAGCAAATTTCAATCTATTTCAAGGAGGGAGGTGACTGGATAACTAGTGTACCCTAATGAGATTTGGTATCTGCGGAAATTCTGCCACACTTTTCACGTGATTTAATGCTGCACATCCCTGCTTGTACAAAAAAAGTTAAAATTATCATAGTCTGTACACATCTGAAGAATGAAAACAGTTTAAAAGGCTTTGAGCACAAAAAAAAATTGTAAAATCTGTATTGTGATTAAGGACTAAGTTATAGTCCATGGATAACATGCAAGCCAAGGATGTGGTCCCACTTGCAATCTGTGGGCTGAGTTTCCCTGCAACTTAGGGTGAAGTATCTGAAGAATTAAGCAGTAAGGAAAAGATGGCACTCAAAAGCACACAACCTTGGCTTGTTCCCAGATAACACTTGGTAGAACAGAGACTAACCATGCCCATCATTGCCCAGGTGTGTGCAAGAAAGTAAGCAAAAGCCTCAAAAATAAACAGTAGCACTTAACATCTTAAGAGCCAAGCTCTTCAAGTTACACTTGTCCTGTCATGGAAACAAAAGCCAGCAATACACGAAATTTTATCATGCAAGAAATTACTATAATTAAGGCTCAAAATCTATTTATGGAGATAATACTACCGATGTCAGGTAAAAGTTCAAGATGCCAGGTTTTTGTACTGTCAAAAGTTATCTAACGTTTTAATATTTAGTTGTTAATAATAGACCCAAACACTAACTTAAAACTCTACAGAATGAGAAGAGTTAAAGAAACATTTAATGAAATCCAGCAGTCTAGCAACCTATCCTTACCTTTTCATCTGGGGAGAACAGCAAAAAAGGCTACCTGGAACTGGCCATAGCACTTAAAATATATGTAAAAGAAAAAAAGAAGAGCCTTACCAGAAATCTACACTGACTTCTGGGTAGAGTTCAGAAAATTGCTAATAACGAAGAGGAGGCAAGAATATTCAACACACACTTGTGCTAAGCACTTAAAACTGGAAATGACAAAATACTTTGCAAGTAATTCACATTGACAATTCAGAATATCCTAAACCAGGCTAAATAAACATCCAACAGATTTTAATAACTCTTGTAATACTTGAAATACTTGGTGTCAAGCACTTCAAAAAGTGGAAATAAGCATAGATCTCATTTCTGTCCTAAGCGAGACTGGAGAATCTGCTTCAAGATGCACAAAAGAAACAAACAAAATTATTGCAAAACACCACTTCTATGAAGAAAAATCTCAATCGAAGACAAGAATTTCATGGCCAATATATAAATACTTAAATATATAAAATATTAGATAAAATATATTAATCAAAACCGACTGTAAGTTTCAGAATTTTGTGAATATTATGTTATTTAAGTCATGCAAAACAAGACCAATAAAAGGGCTTAAGGCTTTATCAAACCAGAACTGTTCCAGGCAGAGGTTTGTACAGCTGTTCTCAAAAAAGCATATCCAAAGGACACTACCAGCTCTTAAAATTAATTTTAATCCTTAGTCATGCATACTATTTAAAGTGTTTCCTAGTCTCTTAGCTTAGATGAATTCTGATCTAAGCTCTTTCTGAAAGTTCTTTGGAGCTGGTGAACAGTTCACTCTCTTTCTTTTCGCTGGAATATTTTGTCTGAGAAATGTGTCCCTCTTTGAGCCTCCTCTTCTCCAGAGAAAACATTCCTTATGAAACACAGTTCTAGAGAGAACTTGACAGAAATCTGTTCCTGTCGCTTAAACACTATGGCAAAGGTCAGGGGAAAGATGAATAATGTTAGGAAGCCACCTACACAAATTCACCTTGCTCAGCCAGATCAAACATCTTTTATTTTATTAAAACTAAAAGTAACACACCCAGACTAAATACATCTAAGTCTATTTGGAGATTTGACTTCTTCTGCATTGCAGAAAATAAGGAGAGACATGAAGGAATACTTAAAAGCTAAGACTCACATGATACTACAGTCACCAAATACAGGCAAGGAAATAATATTCTTTTCCAACAAAGACTGGCACAGGCACTCTTGGACCAGCCTTTCCTCCCAGTTCTAAGTTGAGCTATTTGCAACTCCTTTCCTCATTCTCCTCACTCTAGCACCTCTATCCAATAGCCTGAAACGATTACTTTCAGAATACATTTTCACGTTTTTTACCTGCTTAGGACCAAGGACAACTCTTGTCTATATGCTTAACAGCCTTTCACTTTATCAGGCTCTCTATATTTCTCCAAGCTTTTTCTTGCCCAACTGTCTCTCCAAATACCTTCATGACTGTTCTTTTCAGTACAGCAATATACTCACAATTATGAACTCTTAAGCATGAATTTTAACTCCTTAAGTAAATTATGGACTTAAAATACAGTGCCACTGGGTATCCTAACAAAACCTCTTGGCAGCCATGCTAACAATGCTGAGAAAGGCTGGGAAAGGGAATGCTTTGCCTCTCCATACAAATTACTTCATTCACATTTCTCTCTCTGCCACTACCCTAAACATGTATGTCATGGCCACAGCATGAAGAACCTTTTCTAGTCATTCATCTCCCCCAACCACCAAAACCCAAGCATTTCAAAATAATACTGCATCAAAACAGGACTTCAACTAACCCCTACTTTATATATATATATATATATATTTTTTAAAAAAAAATTAACTCATGATTTTGCTCTCCAGGCTGCCTAGGAATGCCATCTTCTAATCCCCTACATCACTTTTATAACTCCAGACCTAGTTTTAAAACGCCATAGTAAAGACCATGATGGCAGCTAGAACAATTTAACAACATAACCTCTTATTCACTCCAGAACCTTAGCATTTAGAACTCAGTTACCCCTTAAAGCTTTTGTACCGCCTCAGTATGGAACATGATCCAAGTATCACAATTTACCTTCTTTCAATCTTAAAAGACCACGACTATATCAATTCACATATGGAAAGCAGTACACTGATCAAAACTAGTTAGATAACAAACTAGAAATAAAGTACTCTTTTCTATATTCTACCAATAGCCCAACACAGCTGGTGGGGAGAAGAGGACAAGGTGCAAGCTCCATCATAAACACTAGTGTTTTCAAGTACAATATATTTTTAAATCCGTGACTAGGGTGGTCATAATGATCCTATATGATGAAAATCAGTAATGACCAGATTACCACAGTTCACACTTGCAGAATAAATGACACTACTTTAAAAAACATTTTTGGACAAAGTGTTTCTTTACACTACTACTGATTAAATTTGTTTGAGCTAATATACTTGCTTAAAAAATGTGTCAATCCAAAAATGACAATACTTCCACCTCAGAAATGCATGTTAAAAGTTAACTTCAGAAAATTACTTATGGTAACCTGTGGCCAGAAACTTGTCATCAAATGGTTTTATGGCAGAAGTTACAATCTGTTTCAGAGCAGAAACACCAGACAAAGAAGTGCCTAATATTAAGCAGAGATATAAGCTGCATCCATCAATTTAAATATTTAATTCAGAAAGTGCTATGAAAAGCACAGCTTAGCTCATAAATAAGTTATCTGGCTAGATAACCGAGTAACAGATATACTCCATGCCTAACATAGTGAGGTTCAGACCTCATATTGCTTTCAGATCTCAACAGTATGAGCCTTAAGCTGATGCAGTTGGTGTCAGCACTAGAAACTTACTTGTCAGAAATACGAATAGCAGTGCTACTATGCAGATATTCGCAAGGTTATATTTCACACATTAGAAAAATAGTTCTCAAATAGTTAAGGAGACACAAAAATCATGAAAATGCAGACTCGTTCATATTTAGTAACTACCAACTTGACATCCACAATTAATTGACATCTACATTGAAAACAAGGACAGACTAATCCTGTCTTTAACTGCAAAAGAAAACTCAAACTTCCTTATGGAAAGTAAAATTAAAGAGCAGCATTATTAAGACCATGCACTTTTGTCCCCTCTAAATAAACATGTCAAATTGCAAGTTCTGACGTTTTATTCAAGTGTATGCATTCTTAGCTGGAAGATGCAGTTAAAAAATTAGTTCCCAGACTAGTATGAACTTTGTCCTAGAACATACTGAATATTTTCCAGTTTCTAGTGGAGAAAAAGATCATAAAACCACAGAATTGTTCAGGCTGGAAAACTCCTCCAAGATCAGAGTCCAGCCATTCCCTCAGCACTGCCAAGTCCATCACTAACCCATGTCCCCAGGTGCCACATCCACAGAGCTTTAAAATCCCTGTAGCAATGAGGACTCCACCACATTTCTGGGCAGCTGTGCCAGGGCTGAGCAGCCCTTTCAGTGAAGAAATTCCCGCTATCCAACCTAAACCACCCAGTGCAACTTGAGGTCATTTCCTCTCATCCTGTCCCTTGTTCCCTGCTAGCAGAGCCCACCTGGCTCCACCCTTCTATCAGGGAGTTGTAGAGTGAGAAGGTCTCCCCTGAGCCTCCTTTTCTCCAGGCCGAGTCCCTTTCCCAGCTCCTCCTTACCAGCCTTGTGCTCCAGCCCCTTCCCCAGCTCTGCTGCCCTTCTTCGGACATGCTCCAGACCTTCAGTGATTTTCTTGTCATGAGGGGCCTAAAACTGAACCCAGGATTTGAAATGCCTCACAGTGCCCAGCACAGGGGACAGTCACTGCCCTGGTGCTGCTGGCCCCACCGTGGCTGGTACAGGCCAAGTGGCATCTGCCTTCTTGGCCACCTGGGCTCATGTTCAGCTGCTGTTGATCAGGACCACCAGGTCCTTCTCCACCAGGCAGCTTTCCAGCCACCCTGCCCCAAGCCTCAAAAGTGTTTCATGGTGTTGGTATGACCCAAATGTCAGACACCTTCCAAGCACAAACTTAAGTCAAGATTTCTAGAAAAAGAACATTGTTTAACTTAATTATAGACACTACTGTTAGTTCCAGAAAAGTCAGTAAGATCACTGAATTATATCAACTCAGCTGTAGTACTAAGAGGATCTGTAGACACTGCAATGAAATAATTCTGCCCAGGATGTCCGGGTTCATGTGGGAGAACACTAGCCAAACATATAAACAACCATCACAGTTAACTAAATACACAATGTAATGCTTTTTCTCCCCCTCAACTTACTGTCAAACTGCTGTGTCAGCACTAAAAAGCCTCCAACTAATACTTTTGCTTACAGAAAAAAGTTACTTGACTAGACAGACATTTTGCTAAATTAAAATTGTAATTTGCACTCTGAAATTACATATTCAAGTAGTGTTCTGTTTGACAACTATTTCGAAGTTACTTTTGCATTTTCTTCAAAACATTGCTCTAGGAAAAACTTCTCAGTTGACAGTATTTTCTAATAAAGAGTTTTTTGTGGTACGCAATGCACTTAACCAAGCACCTTTTACAGAAAAAGTCTTGGGAACATTTAGCTATTAAGTCTTTCTGAAAACACAGTGAAAGATCACAACCAGTACGTAACCCAAGGCACCTTTCCTTAATTAAGCTGATTAAAGCTGGCCTGAATGCTAGGTTCTGATATATACAGAATATATTAAGTGGCTGTTACTTTGGGCTCACAGCATCATGTTCTGACTATACGATTATTGTATCAATACTACAAAAAACAACTACTGGCAGGAGCAACAAATTCTTAATTTAATCAAACTACAGTAAGCACAGCAGTGATGCTTCTACAAATCCTTCTCTGCAGTGTCAAATACATGACAATAAAAACTTCTAAAATTATTAATCACTCCTCTTTCCCCTTTAAAAAGAAATCTTACATCGCTACGCAATACACAGTCTAGGATAAGCATTTATGTCTGTTACTTCTTTGAAAATTGGCAACTAACTGACAGATGCTACTACTAGACTCTCTGATCTGTTGCAAGGAACAGGCCCTATTCCCCACCCAAGCCAGACTTATTCCATGCCCAAAACAACAGTGGCTAGCCCCCATGGCAGCACCACCACCACTTGGCATTTACATCAATTCATAGTTTATCTCTTAACTCTTGTGCCTTCAAGATGCTCAGGAACCCATAGAGTCTCCATCCAACAAAGCCAGACTTTCTGTCTGTGCCAAGGCAGAGGCAGTCCTGAATACAGCTACCTGCACAGCACCACCTCAGCATCCTCAGAGGCAGCTGGGCAGATTAAATGACAGATCTCCCTCCCTAGATCCTCTCTGCCAGCCCCAAAATACATTATGCCTTTAATATGTTTTTACAAATATTTTGTTGAGATCTATCAGAGTGCAACACATTTGCCTCACATCCTAATGTAGGAGCTTGCACAGCTCAATGCTGAAGGCATGCAGTGTGCAGGCCACTGGTGAAGGAACTTGAGAGTGCAAGAACTGCTATCTTGGCATGTAAGGACCAGGCCAGTGAGAAAGGACACGGGACCATGTCACTCTGCTATGATCACCGCCAGGGCATAGGACACCTCCAGAAAAACTCACCATGATGCAACTCAGAAGGGACTTCAAGAGAGTCTAAGCAACAGTGGGTGATTGGGAGCTGTTTCCTAAAAGGAAACATGATCAAAATTGGTAGCACAAACACTACCACTCTTTTCATTCCAAGAGAAATGTTAACAGCCAATGTGAAAAATGTAGTTAAAAGAATGTCTTGAAAGTACTTACTCTCTGGCAGATTTAATTTGATTAGCTAATATTAGGAGGACAGCAGACTTAAATCCTTTCCAAGCTCAGAAACTATTTCAAGCTCCTGCTGAGGAATATCCCTACTGAACCTGTGAGAAAGCTTGAGTCTGGTACTTGTTCAAACCAAAGAAAAGCTATCAACTGAAAAGTGGTTCAGTATTTCAATTCAAACATTTCTGACTCCACAGATAACAAAACAATCCGGTGATCCTACAGAAAGTATCATACACTTCTGGTTCCCACCATCTTCAACAGAAACAAGAGTAACCTTGATTTTTTTTTCCCCATAAATATCTTAATAGCTTTTACTATTAGCCAGATAGAATCAAATACCATATTGAAATGAAGGAACAGAATTACCATTTCCCAAGGTAACTAGACACTTCCCAGCATACTAACCAAAGATATGAGAGACATTTAAATACGCTGAGGTGAAAAACAATCTAGACCAGTTTTCTTTGATTTATCTTAGCCCTACTGTCAGAAAAACAAGTTTTGTAGCTTTGTCACGCAACTCAAGTGTCAGCACTCCTCTGCCACACGTTCAAGATACACCTTCACCATACTTTTTCTTCCACATTAGTCCATCTTCTGTCTGAAGAGCTACCTGTATTGTGAAACCACCATACATCTTCCCACTTTTAGCTCTTCAGTACCTGCCTGTCCTATGCCCATTAATGATGTTAATGCCTTATTAGCCAGCTTCAGCCTCACAACAATATAGACAAAGGGCTGATCACCATGGAAGGAAGGAATCAGGGCTAAGAGGAAAACAAAAAAATATCAGTATCTCCTTACCTTCTGTGCTTTATCCTTCTGAAATACAAAGACGGGTGGAGCAATGGCAGGTTTTTCTGTAAAAAGAGAAATCATTGGGGTTTTTTCCAACCACATTCATATTGACTATTATGAAAATGTTATGTTCTGTGATGCTTTTACCAATAGTGAATCCTTAAGCCAGTTAAATCTCAGTTACATATATTGTTTCTACCAGTTCCTGGTAATAGATGTTTATAAGGACTTGATCTTCAAAAGTAAGAGGGAGTGTTTTAAGGTGAACAACACAACTAATACCTGAAAATTATTTGTGTTTCCCCTCCAGATCACTTTCAAGCTAGTACTTGTACCATACTTTGGCACATCAAAAGGAAAAGACCCTTTGCTGCAGCAGTTCACTAACTGAACAGGATGCTTTTCCTTCCCCACTGTCATGCATTAATGAAAAGCGAGTTTGTTGTACACCCCTACATACACCTTTTTTAAAGATCATCTAACATTGATATTTGATTACACTTTTTTTCATTATAATTCACACTTTAGAAAGGTCCTAAATCAGTATTTGCAGGTCTAAAATTCAAACCTGATACATTACATATTACAGAGGAACCAGTCTTTTCTGTATAATTTAAGAGCACATGTGCTTACATCTTAAAGCTCTGAATCAAATAGCAGGATGCTATTTTCTAAATACACATAGCAGCATCTAGTCTACAAGAGTAGAATTAATGTCTAGAATTAGTGTATATTTCCATTGTCCTTTTGTGAGATTTCGCAACTACCTCAGTGTCCTGAATAACAAAAATATACATACACAGGGGAAGCGTGTGTGATAAAGTAGAGGTAAAAATTCCTGAGAGTTGAACAAATTGACGTGTGTGAGTTATATTTGAAGAGATGCTGCACATACACTATGAAGTCAGGGCTAAAGATGAGTACAATATTTCAGTCTGTCTTTCAGTCTGGAAAATGGAATTTAGGAAGAGCTAGATTTGCAAAGAAATTAGCCAGGAAGTTCCACCTTTGCAATTATCCAATCCTATAAACAAATCTAGACATTATGAAAATTAAAAATTTTAAAGCTTTCAGACCCTGAAAGGCTAGCATAAAAAAAAAGGAAATCTAAAGCTATCAAGATGAATTACCTTACACAAAAAAAAAAAAAAAAAAAGAACAGTATCCCAAAAGCTTCCATAAATCAATCGCAGCATCAATAAAGTACTTGGATCACCATATAAGGAAAAAGGGATGAAAATGTCCATTTGGGAACTGCTAGTGTTGGATCAGTTAGGCTGAAAAAGTTAAACTTTAGTTGGCATACACAAAATTATGAAAATTATTACCAGAACTGTACATTTAATTGTGAGGGTAGAAGAACCTCTTTCTACTTTTCTGTGGATCTAAGTCAAAGGGATAACCCAGCAAAACCAAAAAAACACTGCAAGACCGAACGTGCAAGACTGGCATAACATGTTCTACAAAAGATAAAATTAATCAAGAAATTAAGCTACTTATGACATCATTTTACCTGCTCTTTTTTCTCCTTTATTTTTTAAGTTCATCTATCCATTAAATACTGCTGAATCTTAAAAATGCTTATTAATAAGGGCAATGCAGACAAGCCATTTCAGAAGTGAAAACAATACAGACCCTTAAATGTAATACCTGTCCCAAAAATCAGAGTGTGTTGAAACATTCCCTTGGCCTCAGTATAACCTGCTCGTAAGAGGCTTCACTGAGGCAATGGCCAAGCTTTTAACCCTTGACTTCAAAGTGACAATTCTTTCTTAATACCACGTGGTGTAGTTTAGTGCTTATTAGTGCTACTGCTACAGCAGCATGCCCTCTGCCAAACCAATCAATAGAGAGATCTATCAGAATGTGGGACTTGATTGTCATGCACACCTTACAAGAGACTCCCGCACCAAATTCTGCAAATACCAAGGAGAAATGAACAAAAAAACCTACTTCTCTGTTTAGTGCGTAATAAATGATTGAAGTACTGAGAGAAGAAAGCAAAGATAAACAGATCCAACAACAGTGCACAGTGCAGAGAAAAGCACGAGACAGAGGACAAAAGATGGAATGGGTAGCCAGAGAAATTGATGCAAAGTAACAACAAAATTGGAGATGGAGTCCAGTGATTGAAAACTAAGCACTCAGGAAAAAAGAAGACAGATGTCAAGAACAGCAGAAAGCTCACAGGAAAAAAAATAGATTAAAGAACAAAAGAGAGTGAATAAACACCAACTATTTGAGATTTGTGTCTAGCTATGACAAATGAGAATGGCAAAAGGATCTAATAAAGCCAACTGTGGCCAAGCCTGGTAGTCAACCTGAAAAAGGGAACACTGGTACAATGTTTGATAGTCTATCCACTGAAGGAACACAGCCATCCAGTATTCAAGGTCCAAGAATCTCACTACTGCTCTTGTTGACTGTGAGACCAACTGACAGGGTCAGGAATGACGATGAAGCAACAGGGACTCACAGGTAACAATTGTACCAGTGCTTACTCAGGAACAGACATATGGAACACTTGTTCATTGTGTCCTTTCTGAAGTCTGCAACAAGACCACAGTGCTGGAAACATCTCCCTAATTCTAGCCCAAGGCAAGAAGGGATCACTAGATTGCCTAATCTGACCACCTTTATTAAATACTGCACGTTTTTCTAAGCCTTATTTAAATTTCGGGTAAACATTTTCATTGCAGGCATCAAAAGCAAAGTATTACGGCCCTCAATCATCCATTTCTGCATTTGGTAAAAAAATTCTAGCGTCAAATTTCCCATTCAAATGTCCAGCTCCAGCTTTTGGTTCCTATTTCTAGTTATCTTTTTGAATGCATTTACATTGAGGTCTCTTGCACATAATGCTTTTCATACAAAAGCAAGTACACATACCATGTTTTATTTCTGCAGATCAAGAATGCAGATGTCAGGTAGCTCTTTGGCTTTTCCAGCTGGTCCAAAACAAGAATTCCACTGTTATTTGTACTATCCAACCTCTGGGCCAGATGGTCACGTTCTCAAGCATTCTTTTGTTACAACGGGGTGTCTGAAGGATGACCTATGGTAAAATGGATCTGCCAGGTCCACTAAACTGTCAGCAACTTAAAAAGAAAATAAAGCTTGATATATGAAGGAAAAAGCCTCAACCTTCAAACTTCAGGTAGAACGCATGTAAGAGAACATGAAATCTCCTTCACAAAGAGATGAACAGTTGGAGCACATAGTTCTTAAAAACTAAGGATTAGATTTGGGTTTTTTTCTTCAGAGAAGCAGACAAACATGGTAAAACAAAATCTAGAGAAATGTCAATTTTCTAACCAAGTCAGCCTTATTAAAGGTGTTCAGATAGAGTCCAAGCATGTAAGAAGGAAAGCAAAGTTTTCAATAATTAGCATCAGAGACAGTACCTCTCCAATCTCAATATCTGGAACCATACAAACCTGAATGGTTTTAGGCTGTCAAATCAAATTGGATCCTCAACTGAAAACCAAGTGAATCTGCAGAACTCCTTCCTGCAGTTTATTCACTTTGCAGGTATTTCAACCTGCATGAATAACTACAAAAATCTCAAGAGCTGGATTTCATAGGCTAAATTTATTTAACATATTTTACCATCAAGTCATTAACTATCGATAAATGCCTGACATGCTATACTATTAAACCGGCTGAGCTCCCTTCACAAGCTGCGGAAATCAGAATGCAGAAACAGAAAATATTACCTCCATAGCTCATGCAGAGACATCATCTTCAAGTCATATATACTATTTACCATGAGATTTTTAACTTACATGCGTGACCACTAGTAGGTGTGGCAAACTCTCCCATGTCAATCACATTTCCCACAGCTAGACATCCACTCACACAATGCACCTCTCACAGCCACAAGGTGTCAGATCTATATTGCAGCATGAAATGACTCATTCAAGGGCAACAGGAAAAGCTTTTATAAGTACATTGGTGATAAGAGAAAGGCTGGGGAAAACCTGGGACCTCTCCAGCAGGAAACAGGAGAACTGGTTTCCATGGATATGGAGACCTGAGGTATGCAATGATGTTTTTGACTATCTTGACCAAGAAGTGCTCCAAATACTCCACCCAAGTTACAAAAGAGGAAAGCAGCAGGGACCGGCAGAATGAAGGACCACCTACTATAGGAAAACTGGCCTGAGACCATCTAAGGACGCTGAAGATGCACAAGTCCATGGGAACTGATGAAAAGCATCCATGAGTCCTAACTAAGGGAATTGTCAGAGGAAGTGGCTAAGCCACTCTCCATTCATTGAGAAGTCGTGGCCATCTGAGGAAGTTCCCAGTGACTGGAAAAGGGGAAACGTAACCCCCATTTACAAAAAGGGAGAAGAGGCAGACTTGGGGCACTACAGCTGGCCAGTCTCACTTCTGTGCCTGGCAAGATTGTGGAGCAGACCCTCCTGGAAACTGTGCTAAGGCACATAGAAAATAAGGCACTGACAGGTTGAGAGCCAATATGGCTTCACTTAGAACAAATCACACCTGACAAATTTGGTTCAATGATTGCATCACAGTGTTGGTGGACAAGGGAAGAGCAACTGACGGTCTGCCTAGACTTAAGCAAAACATTTGAGATCCTTGTCTCTATATTGGACAGATGTATCACTCCTGGGATAAGGAGTTTACTGGTGGCTGCTCTCAGAGTTGCAGTCAATAGCTCAATGTCCAAGTGGAGACCAAGTTTGGGACCAGTATTGCTTAATATCTCTGCTGGTGACATGAACAATGGGATTGAGGGCACCCACAGGAAGTCTGCCAATAACACCAAGATGTGTGGCGTGGCTGATGTGCTGAAGGGAAGGGATACCATCTGGACCGGCTGGAGAGTTTGGACTGTGCAAACCTTATGAACTTCTACAAGGCCAAGTGTAAGTCCTGCACATGTGTCAGGGCAATCCCAAGCACAAACACAGGCTGAGGAGAGGAGGGATTGAGAAAAGGCCTGGAGAGAAGGACTTGTGGATGGAGGTGGAAAAGAACCTCAACATGCCCCAGCCACAGGTACTGGCACACAAGAAACCATCCCTGTGCTGGG